CCCAAGGAAAAGAGCTGCTGCTCAGGGGCACTTTCATGAGCTTCTGTAAGAAATCATATCCAGCAAGGGAGGTTTAGGTGTACCTAGAGCAGAGGCTGACTCCACGAGGAGGAGGCGGCATCCCGCCGCTAGTTCTGCAGGGGCTGGGATATTGGGCAAAGGCTCCTGTGACTCCCACAAGCATCTTCTGGCACATAACTGGTTGGAGTGGCACAATGCTCAGCTGTGGAAGGTTGAACTGCGTCCGTCTGCCCCCTGCTTCAGGCTGGGCATGAATTATTTCGTGTGCAGCAGTGGTTTGTTCGAGTCAGCTGGCAGGTTTCAGAAGGGCTAGAGTGGAGGGGTAAGCTAGAGCTCCTCAGCCTCTGGTTTCCTCTGGTTTATTTACATCTACTTGTTGACTAAGCGTAATGAAATCGAAGTCAGGAAAAGCTGCATGTTGAAAAGATGATGTTAGAAAGAGCTACATTAAAAGCAGGACTACCTGCTTTATGATATTCATTACCTCTCAGAATAAAAACTGTGCACCTGCCCTTCAGCTTCACTTTCAAAAGCTCCTCAGCCTCTGGTTTCCTCTGGTTTATTTACATCTACTTGTTGACTAAGCGTAATGAAATCGAAGTCAGGAAAAGCTGCATGTTGAAAAGATGATGTTAGAAAGAGCTACATTAAAAGCAGGACTACCTGCTTTATGATATTCATTACCTCTCAGAATAAAAACTGTGCACCTGCCCTTCAGCTTCACTTTCAAAAGCACATTCTGAAAAATCAGAATAACAAAATACTCCAGCTAATCTGGAAATGTGTTTTGCCCCAGCCACCAAAGCTGAGAGGTACTAAAGACATGACATACCAAATATTAAACTTCTACTGTGTTGAGAAAAGTACTTGTTTGGATTAAAAATTGGAGAATAAGGAGAAATCTTGGCATTAGCCGAAATGGCTGCATGTTTATCTCAAGCTTCCAACGCTGACTCCAAAGCCAGCATCACTGCCGTCTCGTTAGCAACAGCAAGCCCCGTCCAAGAAGGACAAGCTGAAATGCTGCTGGGTGGCGAGGGACGGGTCTGGTGGTTGCAAGCAGCCCAGCACCTCCGAGCTGCGACACGTGGGCTGTTAAAAGGTGCCTGGTGCTTCCACAGGCCAGAGCGAGGGGCAGCCATGTGCTGTCCCCGCGGGGACACAGCTCCTCACCTGCGGGCAGGGAGGGGATCCGTGCTGGGCACCAGCCCCACGAGGGCTCTCTGCAGCAGCTCTGCAGGTCTAAGGGTAGACGTTTCCCCCGTTGATCAGGTCATACATTTGGGCTGGGAATGTTGGAGGGTGCTGAGCGTGGTCGTACGGAGCCTTCTCCTCCTCCTAAATGCCATGAGATTTTTTACAGCAAATCTTCCCTGACCGCTCCCTCCACGGGCGACTTCGCAAGAAATGCATCCTCTTGCGGGGCCTCTCCCCTTCCAGCCTCAGCAATTTCCTTCAAAATGTGAAATGCTGTGGATTACTGAAGTGGCTCCATGTGCCACAGAGATCATTTATTCTTCTTTGTTTAAAGGCTGGGGGAGGGCAGCTCTGGAGCTTAGCTAATTCAAAGGCGCCAGACGGGCTCACGGGCTGCTGCAGCCGCAGCTTTGAAGTGAACCTGCCCGTTGGTTTCCACCATAGGATGGAGGAGGGCAGGAGAGCCCCCATCGCCATCATTGGCTGGACATGTACGACTCTGTGTTTGGTCTCCTATGCGGCTGCCTTCTCGCACGGCGCGAGCCTTTCTGCCTGCACCGACATGATGCCCAGGCACCTGAGAGCGCAGCTGCACAGCCCGAGCAACAACTACGTTACTCTCCACACCAACATGTCCTTCTACTTCCCAGGCGACAAGGTTCCAGGTAAGGAACAGCTTCTCATTCCTGCATCTGAAAAATACATGGTAGCTAATCTCAAGTGATGGCATTAATTTGTGAGGGCTGGGAAGAGGGAAAAATGCTTCGAGTGAGCTACGCCATCTCTCTCATCATGAGGAAAAGAATGTATTTACAGAGGGATCCTGTTTGCAGCACTTGGTGTGAGGTTTCTCAGGTGATGGCTGACTCCAAGTTTTCACCATGTTGCAGACCAACCATTTGCTGGAGGCAGCCGGTAGGTTTGGATGCTTTGGGTGGGATTCATTTATCTCAACTGTGTCTCAACCATACCAGACCTCATCACACGCAACGGCACAAGAGGCAGCTCCAGAGGGTAAAGTCTTCTTCCCTGCTCCTCTGCGCTGCACGAAGGGGTTGGGGTGACTCGCCTGACTCTTACGTACGGTTGGGCAGCATGCCCCGTCCCCAGCATCGCCGCTCCTGAGGCAGATGCAGACAGAGCTGAGAGGCACTGCTCCCCAGCCTGGCCGCTTGCCTGCTCATCCCCATGCTAAATAAAACCCCTCTGAGGGCAGCACACAAGCTTTTGCATAGATAAAGAGTGGTACCCGAACCTCCTTCCTTAAAAATGGCTGTATGCTGCCTAGTGCAATGCAGGTAGCAGCTTATAATCAAGGGAGGGAGGAGAAAAACCCAGCCAAATTTTGTGTGCAATTACATACCACAAAGTCCAGCCTCCTGCATCCAGCATCTCCAAGACAGACTGTGAGGACAAAGACAGTAAGATATTTTCGTTGTTGTCGCACAGGGTTTCCTTTTGGTTTCGGTGCTACCACTGGAAACTCCATTGCAAACGATTCACCCCATAAGTACGACAAATCCCTTTGTGTCCCATGTTTTGTCTTGCAGTGACAGTGAGGAGCACCCGGGATTTTATGGGCTTTTTGCTTCAAGCTCGCAAAGTGTCAAACGACGAAATCGCCGGCACATTTGTCTTCATCCCTCCTGGTTCCAAGCTGCTGACTTGTTTTGAAGATGGTGACACCGTCACCCACTCAGACAAATCACTGAAGAGAAATCTGTCCTTCGTATGGAAAGCACCAGACCAACCCATTGGAGACATCAAGTTTTTGTAAGAACATGCTGGTTCCTAACCAGAATTTGTGTCTTCTCAGTTAAAGGCTTCGCTTTATTTTTCCATCGTACTTGTCCAGCACAGTGGTTTATGTATCTTGAACCCCAAATAGCTAAATACTTATCAAACGCTGCAACAGTATCCCAGCTGGTACATAAATCACTATTTATATCTGCTCATAGTGCTGCTTTTTATTCACATGGTCACTATTTTCTCAGAATAAATATACTGGCAGATGACAGCCTAAGCACTTAGGAAATAGAAATATTAAGGCAGAGAGAGAGAACTGTGATTGTGTTGCCTTTCTAAATAACACAGCCCATAGGACTTCCCTGTCTACAGGATAATCTTGTTTATCACTTCTTTAAAAAGAAAAATTAAAAATGAGTGGGTTTAAAAGAAGTTAAATGTAAACAGAATTATTCACAGTAGGAAGAGCGAGCGAGCACTGGGTCAAAACTTGACATCTCTGTTTTGCACTGAAGTCCCAAACTGTCCAAGTATTTTGGTTCTGATTTAGAATGAAATTAAACATCTTCTAACTGTCTGCCTTAGAGGAAGCACAGCAACTTTTCATTTTGGAAGAGATTAAGTTGTTATGTGTTGACTTTACAAAACCACTTAGAAGCTGCTTGGCCAGATCCTTGGCTGCTCCCCAAAACATAAGCATCCTGGTGAGTGCCATGGCTTATGCAGCTCATCGTAATTCAACCCAAATTCATTGAAACAAAAATATTGCTGCTTGGCATTTCCAGTTTTTGCCCGTTGTTTTAGATCAGGAAATACTATTAAAACCACAAGCAAACCAAATAAACCCAACCCAAACCCAACAACACCTACTCCTTGCCACCCCCTCTCATGCTTCCTTCACCCTCTGCCTTTTGACCCTCCAAGGGGTTTTCTGATAGCCTCTCCCTTTTCTCCCTATCACAGCACCTGGAAAAACTCCTCGTTAGGCTTAAAAATGCCTCGTAAGAGTCATCCGGCACAGGAAAACCTGGGTTGGTTTCCCCTTAGCTAATTCTCAGAAGCAGCTGAGCAATCTGAGCTCAGCTCCCAAAATCTCCAGCTGAAAGAAGGCTCTCGGGGTGAACAGTTAAAGGTTGGCCAATGCAGTTTTGGCACCTGACAAAAAGCAAAGGGTTAGGCGGGCTCAAATGTCAGAGGGCTGAGAAGAGAGACTTTCCCCCCCACTCCCCCTACCTATTCTGCTATTTGTACAAGTTACATTGACTTGTTTTAATTAGTAAATACCACTGTTGTTTCCCTGCCTACGGAAGATTATAAGCAGAGCTAGTCCAAGTTTTCCAAATGTACTTCTATCAACACAGTGAATATAATAGCTTTTTTTTTTTTTTTTTTATTTAAGTTCCCACACATTTTTTTGGATGGTCTTAATTATGAGTTGTGATTCCTCACCCGTATCTTTCTTATGGGACTTGGTATCTTTTATTTGTAATATAAAACGTGTGACGGGCTAATCCTTTAAAATACTTCTGCATCACTTCTGTCCTCAGACTAAAGCAGTCCTTGTGATCAGCTAAACAGTCAGATGTTTTATTAATGCTATAGAGCCAGTAAATTCTTGCCTAATTATGTTTTAACAGCATCTCCGTAGTCCAGTCATACTTTGTTTACTGGGCAAAGATCGAATCTGCTATCGTGGCTCAGCGAGGGCAAAACAAAACGCTTTCTGGAAGCAGCAAGAAGCCCGACCCCGTAACCTCCGTGCCCTCGCAGGGACCGGCTGACCCACACCCCACAGGTACGGCAAGAAAAGGTACCGTTTTCCGACCGACCGCTTCCCCCAGAGTAGTTTTACACCTTATTCCGGGCAAGCGTTGAACACAACGGATCCAAACAAGCTGGAGGGACCCGTTTAACTCCTGTGGCCATCAGGGAGGTCAGCGATGGCCGTGGTGAACTCTCTGAAGTGCGGGTATGGGTCAGCATTCAAGGTGATGGAGCCCACTCCAAGGAGGGTACCAGAAAGATAAACAGGGTTGCCAGATCTTACGATTTCAATGCAGACCCTAGAATACAACATACTTTACCTAAAATCTCAGCTCCCAAAGGCAAGCAAGTGCAATCAGCAATGCTGTCTAAATGAAAGAATACATTTGTCTCTAAATGTCACTATTGCCCTTCAGGTAGGTATTTAGTTGTATTTACGCAGTCTTTGGTCAGTCAAATGCTCCAAGAATTTACTTATACCCAAATGAGATGTGTTTCTCAGCATTTTGCCATCAAGACTGACTTTTAATTATTTTACTTGACCATAATTTAGGCAGTGGGCTTTGCTGCTTTACTTTCCATTTGGGTTCCCACTTAAAATTAATTGACGTGAAAATTAAAAAAAAAGTCACCGGTTCAATCCTTCCTGGCAAATGTTAGACCCGAGTGGGATTTGAAATAAACAAACTGAAGACGACAGACTTCTGCTCCTCTCTCCCTGCTTCTTGTTTTGTCTCCATGCTGGACAAGGTCCCACCTCTCCCACGGCTGCCACCGGCTCCCCCCCGCGCACC